ACAAACTAATTACTGATTATAAACAGGATTTGGATATTATGTTAATAAGCTTATTAACGTTTATTTATGTTGACAGTCCTGTTGCGCCTGGGTGAACGCTGCCATGATGCAGTTTACCTCCGTTGATCTAATGAAATTCTGTAGTTTCCATTCTAGGGGAAATTCAAAGTGTCTTTCTGTAATACAGCAAATAATTTCGTTAACATAATTTCCAGACACCTTGTAAATTTTTCCTCTAGCATTTCTGCATTAAGAGATCTAACAGGACCTTTAACTTTGTAATTTTGGTTTGGTTTGGTTGTTATTAGGTCGTCAAGAAATTAATGTTGCGTTTTGGAACACTTTCATTAATCACCCCCCAAAAAAACTACATCGCCTATAATAGTTAAACGAACCGCCTAAACGTCACGTTAATGTAGCATATATAATATGTAAAGTTTAGTATACTTTAATCCCTTATATTGATGGCACACGACGAGACACACATTCGGCATTTAATGCTGTTTGAATACAAAAAGAGAAACAACGCTTCTGTAGCCACAAAGAATATCAAAGAAGTTTATGGAAATGATTTGAACGTTCTTAAGTGTAAACGATGGTTCAGGAGACTTTAGCCTTAAAAAATGTGACGGCAGTGGCCGACATGTTGGAATTGATATTGATGCTCTGAAAACGCTTTTGAGTCTAACCCAAGGCAACACACTCTTGATGGCCCTGAAATTGCATGTCTCTCATGAAACAATACGTAAACGTCTAAGGAATATGGAAAAACTCCTTAAAGAATGTGCTTGGGTGCCTCACGAACTCACCGATGATCATCGTTTCCAACGTGTGAACGTTGCTTCGTCTCTTCTGGCGCGTAATGCGCGTGAACCATTTTTAGACAGAATTGTCACCGGTGATGAAAAATAGATTTTCTATGCAAATATTAAACGCCAAAAACAATGGCTCAGTCCTAGACAAAAACCATTTCCGACCCCAAAACCTGGATTCCATCTGCAGAAAGTGATGCTTTGCATTTGGTACATCAAATAAGTAATTCATTTCGAACTCCTCAATCCACAGCGAACTGTCAATGCAGAGATCTATAGTCAGCAACTGGAACATTTAAATCAAGCCCTTCACCAGAAACACCCTTCACTCGTCAATCGGAAAGGTGTTCTTCTTCTCTACGACAATGCACGTCCACATGTGGCATGTTTGACGCAACACAAGATTATGTAGTTGGGTTGGGAAGTTCTCCCCACCCACCCTATTCTCCAGATATGGAACCATCAGCTTACCATCTTTTTCGTTCGCTGCAACACCATCTTAATGGGAAAATGTATGCAAATGTGGAAGTTGTTAAAAAGGACATCAACAT